CTCTATAAAGAAAAAAAATCTACAAAGTATGGCTAAAATATACTTGTATTTTTCTACTTCTTGTTACTGAAAGATTAGATATACTAATGATTGGTCCTATGTAGTTATTTCTTGTTGTTTTGCTGGTTTTTATTAAAAGTTTCTCTTTGTGTTGTAGCTGGCTTCTTTTGTTTTCCAAGAAAATTACCAAAAAAGAAAATTTTTAGAAAAACTAGGGATTAGTGGAAAGAGTTTTTTTTTTTTTTCTATGATTATTAGTGTTATTTAATAACTTAATTATTAAATAAAATTATGCACTTAATGCTATTCATAAAAAAAAAAAATAAATTATCAATATTCATATTTAAAAAAATAAATATTTAACAAATATTTTGCAAATTCTTAATTAATTAATATTTCTTTTGTAATATATATTAAAATTAGAATAATTATTAATTTTTTGTAAAATTATTATTAATTAACAATATATAAAATTAAATTTATTGATAATAAAATAAAAGTTATATATACTATTTATACTTAAAAACAATTTATATTTATTACTTTTGCTATAGATATTAAAAAATGAAAAGATTGCAAAAAAAATTAAATACTATTTTTAAGATAAATAATAATATAAGCACAAATAAGAAAAATTTAAAAGTAAAATATAAAGAATTTTCATATATATATTTATATATATTTCATTTATAATTATTAATTGAATATAATATAAATTAATTTTATTTATAATTTTTATAATAGAAGTCGACTCAAGCACTAATAAATTAATATAATTTTTTTTTTGTGCTAGTATAACCTTGTTTTATTTGAATATAGTAGATATTACATATATAATATAAATAAATTACTTCTGTTTTCCAAATAAAACTTCAATAAGAAAAAATTTACTTCATGATAGTGCCACCTTTTTTTGAAATAAAGGGCTAGTAAAAGGGTTTACTAGTATAAGAAAAATTAAGAACAAATCTGTAATATTTGTATTTGCATCAATATATTTCTTAGATTTGAATCTAATAATTATAATATCTATTCAACTACTATATTTTTATCTTTCAGACTAAATTATGACTACAAACAAAACTATACAAGATTAAATAGAGAAAAAGACTTTGCATATAATAAAGAAGATACTAGTGGAAAAGAAGAGTTGGTTTTGATATGAAGTAATTTAAAAACCACACTACTACTATTACTTTTGTACTGTTAGCTGGTTATTTTTCAAGAACTTTATTAGTTCAGATTATAATACCTCTTCTTTAGCTACTTTTAATACAACTATATTATAGTTTCGCTCCAGTTTTTTCATTTAATTTCCACTATACCCTATCTACAGTAATATAGGATCTCTATTAATGTTTTTTCAAATAATAATAAGTCAAGAGTTGCAAAGGAATTTTAGGATATAGGGAAGAAATAGCTTAATAATATTGTCAGGATGTCTTCTTTTAGGCTATATGAATGTTGGAGAGAGTAGTTTATTATTCGATAACCTGTTTTTTTTTACTATTGTGATGGTTCTATTCTAAAAAAGAAAGTTTTGACATATCTGACTTACACTTTATTAAATTTGATAAATATTATGCTATTTTTCCCAGAGTACTACCATCTTGAGAGATTGAACCATAGTCTTTTTTTCTTCTGACTATATATTGGTCTTATTTTTTGATTGATATAAATAATAAATCTTTCAACCTATTAATCTAATACTTCTAAAAATAAGCACTAAGACATTATTCTCTTTCTATATATTTCTGAGTCTTGTTATAGATATACTGTAGTTTTGCTTGATTGATTTATATAATATATTGTTGAGATTCTTTTTTGATCAAACACTGATATAGAAAAGACTATGTCCTATATTTATTTGCATCACTGCCTAATATTTTAAGGTGGATTCCAAGTTCTTATAGAGCTAAGAAAATACATTCAGATATATGAGATAATCAATATGAGCTTGTTTATATTCTTTTGCTAATATATTTTCTACTGGTCAATTATTGCTTAAGAAACTTTGTACTATTCAAAATTCAGGATCAAATTGAGGTAGGCAAAATTCTTTAGAAAAAATTAAGAAAGAATACTTATAGAGCAAGTATATGATAAGAAAGTGGATAGTTGTTTTCAAGATAAGTCTCTCATTATTAAAAAAGCTCTGTATTGTTTTTCTAATAGATGAATAGGTAGCAGCATTTCAGTTCTTCTTCCTTTTAGAACTTTTTTGCCATTGATAAAAAGGTGTGTTTATAACTTTGATCACCAAAAGTCAAGTTTTTGTTTAAAGAAAATGTTTACAAGAGAAAGGAGAAGATAGAGATAACTCTTGAAGTGTTATTTAAAATTAATTTAAAAAAAGTGGTAAAACTTTATTAGTCAAGAAATATAAAAATTTCTTGCAAATATCATTTTTGTGTGTGGTCAGAGGATTAATAGAAAGAATTGAATAAATTAATATAATTAATTCAATATATTAATAAAAAAATATATTGTATATTGATAGATTTATTAAAATAGTTATACTAATAAATAAATTTTATATAGCAAAAATTCTTTTCATTAATTCTATAACAATATATAAAAAAATATTCATCAAAAGTTTTTAAACTTTTTGATTAAAGTTTATCACTATTTTTAAAAAATTTTTAAAAATATCTTCAAAAGTTATTATTATACTTCTTTTTTTGTTTATAAACTTTTTTAATAAAAAATTTGATCTTTGATAACTAAAAAAAAGTTAAATAATACCTTTATTATCAATAACATTAAAGTACTTAAAAATTTTTTTTATCTATAGAGTATTTAAAGATCTTTGTGATATTTTGTAACTTTCACATTTGCTGATCACCTTGTATCTTTGGTACCAGGTTAGGCACGTAAGACCCTGTATCTCTTCTATATATCTTATTATGATCTTTTTGAGTTTCTTATTGAAGATCCTAGCTCAACACCTAATGATGCTAATTATGCCTTTAGGAACTAGACTTCCGGATATCGGTTTAATCTATATATCTGTTTCCTCCTTTCTGATTTCCCTTTTCCATGCTCAGATCCAACATTCATTTTCTCCTGCTTGTCTTTGAAGGCAATTTGTCATAAAGTTCACTATAAAATATCCAAAGTCTATCTTGTTTATTTCACATTTATATATGTACTTTTGTGTCTCTTTTTTCTTGCTACATCTAATGCACATGCTATTCCTATATATATATCTTTTTTTCTCACATATAGCTTGGCTATTGTTGGTAATTCCTGTATCCAAGCCTTTATTCAAAAGGATCTTTACTGATAATCTTCTTCATTAGTCAGGCCTGCAGTGATCTTTTTGTATCTAAGGAACTCAGCTGTTACTTTCTAGTCGATTTGATGTACCCAATGTGTCAAGTCTTTATTTTTGTCTAACTGACACCATTTCAGGATCTGTTTATTTCTAAAATGGTTCTACACTACTTTTCTGGTATTTAGGTTTATGGCATAAGCTTTGTACTCAAGTATAAGATTGTTTTTACTGATTGGCAAAATATTCAATCTTGTTGTATGCTATTTGTATTTTGTCCTTCTTGATTCACTATCTATTTTTATATACATACAGTCTATGTTTTTTCTGATTTTTGTGACTCGTATGTTCAGATTTTTTTGCATTGTAAGCTCTTTAGTCCAGGTAATCAGGTTTGTAATTTTGCTTTTATTTGTTAAAATAGATAAGGCTATTGCTACTATCTGATTGTTTGTATTCATCGATACTTCTATATTTTTGGCAAAGACCAGAAGGGTGACTGCTATAGCATTTAGCTCTGCCTTATTTAATATTGTCTTTTTCATAATTTTAAAAACAATTGGCCTTAATTTTTCTCTATTTTCTGTGTATTTAATGTGAAAGGCTATTGTATAAAATCTTCTGAAGATACTAGTATTTATAGTAACTATAACTGCTTTCCAGTTTTTTGTTTATAGTTTAAAGTTGAGAATAATCTTTCTACTACCAGTATCCTTTATCCATTCTATATCATATATGTTGTCATCAACATTTGCTACTAGAATGTCTATTGTTTCTGTCTCCATGACTTGTTTATCCCATGACAGTAGGTTCATTAAACTATAGGATGATATCAACAATTTGACTTTTGTTAGCTGTACCATTAGCCAACTAATATTAACATTTTCCTGGGCATGCCATTGTATTTCTGTTTTGAATCTTCACTATATACATTTCAATATTTTGGCCTTGATCTAGAGAGTAGTCCTAACATGGGGTAATTGGTGATACAAGTATTTGCTGGTAGTGTCTAACTATAGTTTTAGCTCTGTCTTTTTTTTTAAGTTTCCCCAGGACTAGTTCATTTATCCCTTTATCTTTCTATATAGCTATCCAATTGAGTTTGTTTTGTTTAAGTTCATAGCTGCTTAACTTGTCTGTTTAGATTGTATTATAAAATATGTTAAACATGGGTCGAAAACCCATGATCTTTATCTAATATATCAAGTTAAGTGTACCTGTTATTATTATACTGATCACCTTATCGAAAAACTTAGGTTGTTATCCTTATAATCTGCATCTACTTAAGCTACACACTTGAACTCAATTGGTTGTTTTTGTTTTGTCTAAGTTAAGGAATTGCTCTATTCATCTTAGGTCATTGGATTTTAACTTAGTTCTATTTTTGTTGAACCAACCCTGTTCCATATAGGTCTCGAGAAAGATGAGTCCTGCTACTCCCTTCCTGTACACTGCTTTATGAGCTTTGAATATAAAGTCCAGCTACTGGATGTTTAGAAGTATATATTGTAGGAAATTGTTTTCCTTCAGTAGCACTTTTGGACATTTTTCTAAAACATTGACTTTTGAGTATACAAACCATTACAGGTTTCTCACTCTTTCTTGACACAATCTTTCAGTATAATTCATTGTTGGGTAGATTTTTTCAAGGATCATGAAGTGCCTTTATAGGATCCTTGTTTCCAAACTAAAAATGCTATATTCTAGATTATTGTGGAAAATACTGTTGGATACCAATCTTGCAAACCCTGTCTTGTATTTGATTAGTTTCCTGATTTCATTATCTACTTTATCTATCTGGTTTTTTATCAGACAAAAATCTTAGACATGTATTTAATCTTTAGAAATATAATATAAATTTATAATATATTGTGCTTGATTGTCTGTCACTTTTCTTTAGAGAAATCTATTGGCCAGTGCTGTGGTAACTAGTTAAATTCTGCTTATTTGATATTTTTTTTCTCCATCTGGATCGATCCATACTTTTAAGTATCTGATTCTTACTTTGTCTACTGACAGCTTGTTTTCTTCAAAGGTTATTTTTGGATCTTTTTTGTTATTAATAATGATCAACTCAGACTTGCTTGGTTTCACCTTAATATGTGTGAAGCTATAAAAAGAGCTTGCCATATCTGGAATTATTTCAAGTTTTTTCTTGTCTTCTACTATTCATGATGTATCATCCATGTAAGCTAGAACTGATATGTTGATATGGCTTTTAACTATTCTGAGCTTCTCCATATCATATGTTATTATAATATAGCTATATCCTCTCAGCATACTGACTTTGTTTATAAGTGGATTATAGTATATTCTCTATAGCAAGGGAGAAATTGCGCCCCCCTGATCAATACTATTCTTGACTAGGTATGATTCAATTAGCCCAACCCCTATGATTATTATATTTGTTCTGTCATGGAAGCTATCCATTATAACCCTAATGATTTTCTCGAGTATCTTAATTTTTTTCAAGGCTTTGTTAAGAATTGGCAGGTCTATATTATTATAAGTCTTACTTATATCTTAAAGAAAATCCAAAGTTCCTTATTACTTCTTGCATTTTCTATTATGGTGTTTAGTTCAAAGATCAGTTCCAGTGTGCTTGTCTTGAGTAATACTGCCCAGTTGTACTTTTAAAAGGATTTGGTGTTGAGTGAAAACATTGGAGAACCTGTTGACCATACCTTTCATAATATCTTTTTGATTATTCTAGAAGGGTTATAGATTAGACTTTTATAAGGTCATTGTTCCAGTCCTGTACTTTTGGAATTGGAAATATTGTGCCTTTCTTCCACTCATGTGACATCTTTCTCTCTATCAGTATTATATTGAAAATATCACAGACTTCTTGAATTTCACAAAGGCCCATATGCTTTAGTGCAATGTATGAAATTTGTAAGGGATTTGGAGTAGATGTATTGCTGGCTTTAACTATGATTCTCTTGATTTCTTTTATAGTAAATTCTTTCATGGTATCTCTATAGCATTCTTTGTTTATGTCATGTTTAGGTTTGAATTCCTTTCACCAGATCTGAGAAATCTTTACACTCTTATAGTTGAATGTTCATTTTTCAAAGTGCTTTCTAACTTAAGCTTTGATTTTATTCTCTTTCATTATGATCTCAAGTTTTCCGTTCCTATTAATAGTCTATCAAGTTTGGTTTGACATCTTTCCAAGTCAAGGAAGCTGTTTATCATTCTTTTTTTATCTATTATAAGCCATTCTATCCTGGCATAGATGGTCTTTTTAATTCTTTTGTTATTCTTCAGACTACATTTTTGTATACTTTCTTCTTAATCTCTTTAATTCTCTCGATAACTGAGATTTTGCCAGTTCTGCAGGTGTCTAGGTTTTGCAAGTCTGTGGGAAATGTGATGTTGTAGTTTTCCCCCAGCCTATATATTATCCCAATCATTTCATTATTGGGTGTCTCTTGCTCTACCTCCTTGAGCAGATTCTTTAACTGACAGAGTCTGATTAGGAGCAGTATTAAGTTTTTGTTATACATGTATTGTTTTTGGTCTTTGTCTATAATCATTTGAATTTTTTGATATGAGAGCTTGTTGTCTTCAAGATAATCTTCCTTAATATGTTCCAATGAGAGTCTATATCCATTATATGGATTGCTGTACTGCCTCTCTCTTATAGCTTTGTTTTAATGTATTCTATTCACATATCTTAATTTTTTGCTTTCATGTGGATCCAGTTATATCTTAGATTCAGCTGCTCTCTGGGAATAGTTCTATGAAAATTTTCTTTAATTTTTTTAATTATTTCATTGAACTATGGATTTTATCTATTAAGTAGATCTTTAGAAATATCTATTTTTTGTTCAATAATATTGAAATCCCTAGGCATGAGTGGAATGCTGAATTGTTTAAGGCTGAAGTCTATTTATTGAAGACTAAGAGAAAGAAAAAATTAGTACCTTGATCTAAATTGATTCAAAAGTTTCTCTATCAAATATTGTTCTTTAATTGGTAACTTAATTCTAAAATTTTTATTATATCAATAAGGTGAGGATAATGGTGTTTTTTGTATAAAGTAATCTTAAAGAAGTACTTTAAAAGTAAAATTATTTTGATGAAGTCTTTCAGAAATCTTTTTTATGATTTTAGGTTCATTCAATATGGGAAATTCTATGACTAATTCAATATGCAATTGATAATACAAATTGAATAGTTTGATTTTTGAAAGGGAAAGATCAAAATAAATATCAAGTAATTTGTTAAAAATATAAAATTCATCTCTGAGAGGTTTAAGGTCTCTAAATATTCTTAACTTTGCTCTTTTCTTAATCGAGAATTCATTCCTAAACTTTTTAGGAAGGCTTTCAAAATTAGCTAATAGGTCAGGTCTCTTCATAAAATATGGTTAAAATAAAAAGTCAAAGTTATAAAAACTTTTGAAAGCTCAGACTATAGTTTCTGTGTAGCTAAAAGATAATAGTGAGAGTGCAGTAAGAAGTTTTATAAGAATTTTTTCCAGAATGTTACTAAAATTCTCTAGAAAAAATGATGACTGTTTCTTTATAAGCTTTTTTATTATTTTGTAAATTTCTTTGTACTCAATTTTTTTGATGAGGATTCATGAAAAAATGGAATCTATACTCAAGGAGTTTTGAAGATTGCCAGAATTTTAGAAGGATCAAATCCTTATTTCTTAAGAAGACTGTAATAATGATCTATTAATAATTATTCTGATCCTTCTTTTTATGACTTGGGCAATATATTCAATATTATATAGTATTATTATTATTATTTTTTTTTTAACCAATTATGCCACAATGGTATATCTTTATTGAAATATTAAGAAATACCTAAATATTTTACAGACTTTCACAAAGCAACTAACTCATTGTTATATATTATTAGTTAAAGAACTACATTACTTAAAAAATATGAGGAGTCCACTAAGCTAGTTCAGACTAAACAAAACTAAATCTAAACTAAGTACTCTAAGTCAGATTTAGGAGACAATATTTTACTCTTCTAGTAACTTGGAAAAAGTGTCTCTAAGTCAATTAAGGTCCTTGTCAACAGTTTGTCACTATAAATTATCCCAAAAAATAATAAATTATTAAAGTTGGCACTAGAAAAAAAAGAAAGAGGGAATATAAATTCAAAGCTCTTCAAAAGATTCTTGCTTTAATTCATAGTTTTCTCTCGAAAGGGATTTGTCTGATTGGGATATTCTCTAAGCTTCATGACATTTGAGGAACTTAGCCATTCCTGAAAGTGACTTCAAGAAGAACATTTGAGGAACTTATTTTTCTTTCAATGTATGGATTCATTTATCACTAGTGAGGCCAATGCCATATTATGGAAGAGTTTGCCTAACTGGGATAAAGAAATCTTTTCAAGAACTTTACCTAATTGGGATAGAAGCTTGAAGACCTCAGCTTTTGTCCAAGAAAGTCTTGAGAAACTTAATGAGAGATGGGAGTTGAATCTTCTTTTTGTATCTGTCATTCACCTTTCAATATCATAATTGTTTTCTGAAGGTTGAACATATATGATTGAATAAGACATTTTTTCTAGAACTTTCTTTTCTACATCATCAATGATGTATTGAGACATATGAGTGTGATTAATAGGAGCTTGTTTATATTCCAAAAACTGACGTGTTTTATGTCAACCAATCACTTTTGATAAGAATTTGTGCTACCAAAAATTCAGAGTCAAACTAAGATAGGTAAAATTTCTCAAAAAACCATGAAAGCAATAGCTCTAAGAGGTCCACAAGTGACTGGAAGGGGAAAAATAAGCCCTTCTATTATCAAAAACCTTTATATATCTCTTGCTTCAAAGGTTAAATAGGCCTTCAGGTACTTCACAGTCAGTTCTTCTTCCTTTAGAAACTTTCTTGCCATTGGTATTAAAGGTATTACTTGA